CCCCCCCCCCCCCCGGGCAAAGAGGGGATGTGGTGGGGATTTAGTGGCTTTTTGTCATCGAATTCTGGGAATTTGTTGGTTTTGTCATTCTGCCGAATTGCCCCGGGAAGATAGTGGGGATTGTCGGCAGCCATTTTGTACAAAATATTGTACCATTTTGTCCAACGGAATCCCCTGATTCTACCATTTTATACCATGTGACAAAGGTCAAGATGGCGTGTTCGCAACCGCAAGGAAGTGAAATTGAGAGGTATTTTATAAATATATTCATTCCTTTTCAATCTATATTAATATGTCCATCCATCCATGCATGGAATCTATATTGTTGTGGAAAGCTCGACATTTGTTTGTTTATTAAAATATGTTTTTATTGTTCTTTTGAGTTTTGGAACAAAATGTAATATTTTAAAATGTGGTCGTTTTTAATATGTAAAATATTATTGAAATTCCGAATTTCTATACAAATTGTCAGGTGGAAAAAGTTTTTTTTAAAGATGCTGGTACTGCGCGTCCTCTAAGACAAGCGCTAAGTCATCACGAAAGTATTTTGTGCACTTAAATTGGATAAGACTCGCTACCAATCCCTGTTGACTCGATAACTCAATAGGTAGAGCAGCGGTCTGGATACCCGAAGATGCGAGTTCAAATCCCGCTCGAGCCAACAAATTTTTTTGTTGGTTGATTGCAGTGTCAGATTAATATGAAACTATGTTTAGAATATGCAAGGGTAAATAATGCTCATGAGGTTAGACTTAAGTAGAATAAATTAATTTAATATAGACACTCACTCAGACTATATAACAGACAACCATTGGGATGTACAAGCATACAAAAACCAGTGTAAAGCCTATTATTATTAAAGTACAAATAACACAATAATTATGCATTTCTTTTGTCATCTCTGCTATTGTAACATTGCAAATTTCACAGAAAATTTCTAGCCTTTGACTCAGGTTCCCAGAAAGAAAAAAAAAATTTCCACCCCTGCATGGATTATTAATGCTTTTGAGAGACGTAATTCAATTTTCTTGCTCCTATAATGACCATCATCTGCTACCCTGTAATGTGTGGTGTTATCCACCAATACAAGTTCATTTTCTAACCACTTACAGTATCTTTCATGTAGAATGTCACATGGAAAATTAAGGTTAGTCATGTTTGACAATTTTGTCAGGACTAAGAGAAAGCTTGCATAGGGAAAGTACTACATATAGTCAGTGCAATTTATTGGAGGTAGGTTTTACTTCACACTGTTTCGGTTTTATCGGTCGAACGAAATCAGTGTGATGGAGTTCTCTCTCCATCACCACAACTATCTGTAATTAGTATAAATTTCCAGGTGACTATTGATTTTCCTGCATTCTGATTGGTCAAGATTCACTGTCCCTGAAGTGATAGTCACTGGTCAGTGACTATAGCTTTTTGCTTTTTTTCAAAATGGCTGCTCGTTTTGCCATAGTAACAGACAAGGAAATTTCCCAAATTAAAGAAGATAGCATTCCGAAAAAAAACCCAAACAAGCTACAAAATATGGTTTAAAAATATTTCAAGGTAAAATGTTAAACTTTACGTGCTTTTATTTGGAAAAAACTGGCTTCATCATAACCAAACTATTTATAGTGAAAATAAATGCAAAAACTTTGTTTATTTAATAGAGTGGTTTCATGACCAAGCTGAATTTCCAACAGCATTTGAATGCATGAGTACTGAGGAAATGAATAAGTGTCTTTCCAAGTTTTACTTCTCAGCAAGAAAGCAAGATGGAAATTACTACAAAAAAACTAGTTTGTTGTCCATAAGAGCAGCGCTTGACTGCCAACTTGAAAGCACCGCCTTACAACAAAAGATTTTCAATCTGCGACACTGTGTTGTTCATCGAAGCAAATAAAACTCTTAGTTCACACCTGAAGCAGCTCATGAAGAATGGAAAGATAGCAGCCACAGTACACAAAGTCAGTTTGACAGCTGACATAATCAAGAAGCTGTATGAAAAACGCGAGCTTCATGATGTTGATACACAAAGTCCACGGGCTTCGCTTCAAACGGCTTGGTTTCAAATTTCCATCTACTTCGGAAAACGTGGTAGAGAAAACCAAAGTTCATTGAAGAAATCAATGCTATGTCTAGTCAAAACCGCAGACAGCCACAAGTACTTCAAGTTGAACAGAGGCGAACCCGGCACTGTTCTCACGAGCAAAAATCACACAGGAGGTAGATGGCTCCAATGTTAAAATATGTTTGCAATCCAGTTCTACACGTTGCCCTGTCTAAATCCTTAAAACCTACTTGATTCATCTTAATCCAAATATTTCCCTGTTATTCTAAATGAATATAAACAAGTTGCACCAAAAATTTGCTTTTCAGAATGGTTTGCTTTACTCCTGGTAAACGACCATCCCATCTGCAGCAACCCACAGATTTATCCCCCACATAGTAGGCCAGGGGTGGAAAATTTTTTTTTTCTTTCTGGGAACCTGAGTCAAAGGCTAGAAATTTTCTGTGAAATTTGCAATGTTACAATTACAGAGATGACAAAAGAAATGCATAATTATTGTATTATTTGTACTTTAATAATAATAGGCTTTACACTGGTTTTTGTATGCTCGTACATCGCAATGGTCGTCTGGTATATAGTCTGAGTGAGTGTCTATATTAAATTAATTTATTCTACTTAAATCTAACCTCATGAGTATTATTTACCCTTGCATATTCTAAACATAGTTTCATATTAATCTGACACTGCAATCAACCAACAAAAAAATTTGTTGGCTCGAGTGGGATTTGAACTCACATCTTCGGGTATCCAGACCGCTGCTCTACCTATTGAGTTATCGAGTCAACAGGGATTGGTAGCGAGTCTTATCCAATTTAAGTGCATGAAATACTTTTGTGATGACTTAGCGCTTGTCTTAGAGGACGTGCAGTGTTTCAATTCCATTTCAGAATTGTGCATCCTCCAAGACAAGTGTTAAGTCGTCACAAAAATATTTTGTGAACTTAAATTGGATAAGACTTGCTACCAATCCCTGTTGACTCGATAGCTCAACAGGTAGAGCGGCGGTCTAGATACCCGAAGATGTGAGGTCAAATCCTGCTAGAGCCAACAAATTTTTCGTTGGTCGATTGCAGTATCAGATTAATATGAAACTAGTTTTTCATATCGCTGAGGATGGTTCTGAAATATTCTAAACATATCGAAACTCTTTGGTCCTTCGTTAAATGAGGCGTATTTATAAAAAAAAACGCATGACATTTCTTTCTTAGAATTTGATTTTCATGCAGGGTCATTGAATATTTGGAATAAATCTTTTAATCAAAATCACGTCATAATTTTATTTTATATTTACGACAAAATGGTAACTGTTATCAAATTAGTTTATAACAGCTTTTAGTTTTTAAGTTAAAAAATCAAACAAGGCAGCTCTTTTTTGTGCCACCCGGTAGTATTATAGCAGTATAATAATAGCAGTATAATAATAGCATTATAGCATTGGGACTTGTTTACTATTTAATTTGCATTTTATTGGAGACTTTTCAGAGCATATATTCACCATTTTACCTCATGATTATGATGAATTAATTTCTGTCCAATATTAAAAGGCTGCTGATGTTAGTGTGTACACTGTACAGTGTAAATAAAGTAGAGTAAACAGAGTTATCTCAAAATGTTGAAATATTTTCTGGAAAATTTTCTGTGAAACTCTCACTCAAAAAAATTTCTGGGAACCTAAGGTTCCGATACTTTTCCACCCCTGTAGTAGGCCATCTTTCATGAACTGGCTAATCCCCAACCTATTTCTAGATTTGACAGTGTGTTTGTCAACAACAATATTCTGTGACGGCTGGTACAGTTGTTGATGATGTTTATTGCTGTAGCCTTTAGTGACAGGATCTACCATATTCACAAACGCCATAAGCGCCCTGTACCTAACCCGAGAAATTATTTCCATTGCCCACAGACCATGAATATAAGGTTTTTACACTCCAATAATTTTCAATCTCACTGTCGACTTTATATACTAAAAGGCAATCAACCTCTCAAGGTTGGTGGACTGCAAGACCCTTCTTTATAGTAGTATATGGGGATAACTTTTGAGTTATTTGTATGTGGGCATATGTATTGGTATGGCCAGGAAACTACCTCCTGAAGCATCCCTTAGTAAAAAAGTGCTGAATGAACTCAAGCTCACAGTTCATACTTCAGACGAAAGCTTGATTGAAATGGATCCCGGACATGTCAGTGAGGGGCAAAATCTGGGATAATATTCCTAGTGTCAGGATCATCAGATCCATTATGTACTATGGGACCTAGTGGGGGGGTGCTAGACAGGGAGCTTTCGAAACCTTGGGTTCTAATGGCTGGGCTTCCCTCTACTTCCACTCATCCCTCTACTTTCCCTCTGGGTGGGGAAGTGGGGTTCTCATGACTCATCAGAACTGCTACTTCCCTGAGGCTATAAAACAGGAACAGCAGATAGGAACAAGATCAATATATTCATCAGTGCAAATAAAAACTTTTTTATAGATATAATTTACATGCTGCCACTTAAAATTATAATAAGAGCCAAACTAGTAAGATATAAGTATGAATACTTGGCTATTATGTACAGTATGTAACAAACAACCAAACATGTGCTCAAGGCTCATTTTACTTCGCCTAGGAATCAGAGATTTTTATGCCTAAAACACCATTCATTTTCGTCAACAATATAAATAAATACCATTTATGTTTGTCAATTTCAGTATGAAACGATTATTTCAACACAAAAAAGCGATATGAGGACATACTTGGTCGTACTAGTGAAGTATACTAAATACAAATAAATTTACAATGCCATGGCAACGGCAAAACATTGAAATAGAAATTGTCTGGAAATGATAAAAATACTTGCCTTGAAACTCCAGACACGACTCCCAATGCCAGGTTGAGATACTTGTCTTCATATGAAGACATTCCATCATTACTAGCACTATCAGTTTGCAAAATAAAGCCAAAATCGTCTTCAGAATGCGATTCAAACAATACAATTACATTACAATGCTCGTGCGCGATCAGGAAAACTGCTCTAAAAGGTTTGTTTTTCTGCCTAAGCCAATCGAAATCCGTGTCTAGGGTAAACAAACACTCCGGAAGTGATTTCTGCAGTCTTTTACCAGGAAACTGTAATGCTTTACCAAGAATTTGGCGTCCGAAGTTGGCCAAACACTTTCCGACCACGAGAATCGCCATAATAGGCATAGATTATTTTGCAATTTCCCGAGACTGCTCTGAGCTATAGAATGAAAGACGGCGATTTTTTTGTATATTTGTCTTTATTATACGTTGAAAAGAAGCAACGATACAAGCATTTGAATCAGGCGGAACATTCAAAATGCAACAGCAAAATTGATAATGCGTCATTTACATAAATTTCACCGCATTGATGATTTCAAGGTAAGAAATTCGCTTGAAATTGAGCGAGAAACAGTAAAATTATATCAATATTTCGGAATATATAGTATAGATCAAGCGAATTTTTTTTGGTGGTATTTTCGTATTTCCACTGCAAATACTCGCAGAGTTCTTTAATATTTAATCTTCCCGTCATATACATCGGAAATTAATATTGACGGATTGAATTGAGTTAAAGAAAGTTGTTTGCACAAATGCAGAGAATGTGACAGAGTCGATCAAGAAAACTTTGAAGGATTATGGTGGGTTCACCACTGATGCAAATGTTTACAACAAAATAATGGTTGGATTTGGAGCTGACGGGGCAAGTGTAAACATGGGGTGTCATAACGAAATTGGTGTCAGATTGCAGTTGCCTTCAAGCAGGTTATCCAAGAAAATGTATCCCAGATGAAAGTCCTTACTTTCCTGGAAAGTGTTTACAAATTTTACCGGAGTAATTTACCTTAAAACGAAGTATGCTCAGGCAAAGTTCTGCCAGCGCTACATGGATTCCACATACCTACACAGCCCTGGTGAATTTCTGGAAGCTGTACCTGTGGCAGCACTTTGAACAGGTAATAATAAAAGTAAATAGTATGATTTCTAAGACTATAGTGCAAATAGCTGTTGATTTATTTTCTTCTCAATCAATTTTGATATAGTTGCAGGTTGACACACACTCACCTGATGCTTCAGCAAAGGCTAAAAGCTTCCTTCAGAAAATTCAAAAGCCTGAATTTCTGAAAGATGCTGCGATGACGACAGACATATGCACCTGTCTGAAGAAACTATCACTATTTCTACAGAAAGCAGAATGTAACATTGCAGATTGCTCAATATTTATTATTATTATTTACTATTTTAATTTTGTAGCTATGGTGGTATCCCGAAAGAACATTGGCAAGGTGTTGGACTGGGAGCAAATTAACATTGCTTTTGGTGATACTGATCCACACCTCCTTCTTCTTGTAGATCTTCTCCTTACCATCCCAGCACATTCTGCTGAGTGCGAAAGGGGATTTTCTTTGGTGAAATTGGTCAAGTCAGATTGGACGAATTCTTTGACAGATGAAGCTGTAACTGATATAAGGGACTGGTCATAAAGTAACTGCTAGGGTGGGCTGGAGGTAAATCACAAATTTTGCCAATAAGTTTGGTGACCCATCTTAGATGTAGATAAAAATTTCAAAGCCCATCCAATCTTACCAAATTTATTTCATGACCCACCCACCCAATCTAAATTGGGAAAATACACTTTTATAATGAAAAAAACTTGCAGGTATGAACATATATCAATACAGTGCCGGTGTATATCTTTATTTTTGTATCTGCGAAGCAGATTAGTATTAACGTTACCCATAGCCATTCAGCGACAAGCTTATGTAATTAAGCCAATCAGCAATTAGCTTACATCAATTGTTTACATCGTGCTCGCACAAAACCTGCGAATGGGCGTGGTTTGGCCTCGTGTTGCGTGTAAGTCGTGTACTCGTGTTATTCTTTGCCATATTTTGGCTTCAAATTGTCTTGATTAGTTCATTTTACCTTGAATTGGCTGTCTTGTTTTCACCATTCTACTTGTGATATTATTTGAAGTTATCTATCAACATGGAAACATATCCTTATCGGGTAAGTAGCCAAATACCACATATTTTATTACATACATTTATACAGTATAAAAACAATCATTGTGTATAAATACTTTAAACAGTCAAAACTCTGGCTGCAGGCATTATATTGCCAATTAACAATATCACAAGAAACTAATGTTCTCAGGAGATATTGAATTAAATCCTGGTTCTGTAACTCTGTTCAAACGTACAACAGTCCAACTAAATTGTCATCAAGTGTAGTGAGCAAAAGTAAAGATGTCATAAGTTGTATTTTTCGCAGTTGTTCCTGGTTAGTCTTAAAATGTATATATTCTCACTTGGATTACAAACCCTAACATTCTAACATTAATTCCACCAAGTGAAGTGCAAGAATCCATCATTGAAGTCCATCTTATCACAACCCGCACACCCGATTACTTATATACACATGAACTTACGGTTACAGCTTAACAGCTGGCCTCTGTAGCTCGGTTGGAGCGCTGCACCAGAATCACAGGGCCGTAGGTTAATTTCCTACCAGAGGAGCTTGTGCTGCATTTTTCGCAGTTGTTGCTGGTTAAGTCTTAAAATGTATATATTCTCACTTGGATTACAAACCCTAACATTCTAATAAAAGAATCCCCACCCTCCCTCCTCATTACATTGTCATTTTGCTTTCTAATATAAATATTTTTGTTTAGAAAAGTATAATCTACATTGAAAAGTATAATCTATCTGCAGTGAGAAACAAGAAAAAAACAGAGAAAGTCAGTGCTATCGTCCATCATTTACAATATGCTGTTTCTGCAAGTGAAAGTGGTGAAGACCTGGTTTTAGAAGAAATAGGAAAGTCAAGTGATCAGCAGTCAGGATCAGATACAATTTGAACACAGAGGGTTTATTTTGGTTTCCAGTCGTAGAAACTATTATCACCCCTTTGAGTCAAAACCTTTCTTTGTCCTGTTTCTCCAACACGGAAATCACTTGCATGTTCTGAACATCACTTGTGTGATGACATCACAGGTTGTAATTCAAGTTTGCTTCTATTATTGATAAAATTATATTACAAGTACTGAAACATTTTTCTTCTACCACTGTATCACATATTTGGAGGTAATATTTATCCAGGGGAGGGTCATAGAATTTTAGGACGAGTTCAAGGGGAGGGTCAAGACATTTCAAGCCCTTACCGGGGGAGGGTCATTGTATTTTTATCGCTCGACTGAAAATCTCCAACCCCCCTCCCCCCCTGCTAATTTCTGACAAGTCCCTCAGCATGACTAAAAACAACAGAGGAAAGGGCATTTGACGACATTGATAATTTGTTGCAAATTTCGGTCAATACTGCCACCATTTTGATGACTTCCCATGAAGCCTTTCACGCTTGGTATTGCGACCGCAAGTGGTCATGGTAATATTGGTAATATCATAATTGGCAACTGACAAGATGCCAACTAACATAAAAGGAAAACTAACATCAATGCCAAAAGTAACATCATAATGCCAAAAACTAACATCATAATGCCAAAAACTAACATCATAAAAGGAACACTAATTACATCATAATGCCAAAACCTAACTACATAAATCCGAACTAAAAGACACTAATCCGAACTAAACACATCAGAACTAAACAGCTAAAGTTTTTGCCAGCTAAACTTTTTGCTGACGATATGAAAGTTTATAGTGTATTAAATAACATTGAGGAAGATCACAGCATATTGCAACATGATCTGACAAAACTGGAATTGTGGTGTGCTGACTGGCTATTGAGTTTTAACACAGAAAAGTGTGAAGTGATGCAAATTACAAAAAAGAATGACCTCACAAAACCAAGTTACACCTTGATGAATAAAACGTAAAAGTTGTAGATAATACAACAGATCTGGGCGTAAACATTACTTCTAAATTATCATGGAGTTTGCATGCAAATCAATGCGTAAACAAAGCAAACAGGTGTACTTGTTTTTTTGAAATGGTCTGTAGGACCGAAAAATTATCAACTTGTTTGTGTGATGTTACTCTGAGTGTATATCCACACCAGGCAAGCTAAATTATTCATATATTGTGATTATTCCATTCTCTCAATGATTTATTATATTGGAGGCTGTTGCTGTCGCGTTGCCGTCCTGGGTCGTAGGGTCTCTAATGCGAAAGCTCAGCGTCTTTGACTTGTGCAAGCTCTGCGTTTAGTATAAACGTACTATATGTAGCATATACCCTGCGCTGTTGCGTGACTAAAATTTTCCGTGGCTTTTCAAAGCGAAATAATCCCACTTGATAATGACATTAACAGGATATTAAATCCCTACAGCGTCAATTATCGATTACTTATAGCCTACTGCTGACACATTATGTCCAGACCTCGCGATTGCATATATTTTACAGATGTTAATTTCTTTACTATACATTACGAGGCAGATTATAATCTGGGGGCATGCATGTCTGTGCTCTTCACTATATTTGTATGATATAGTGGGTATTTGTGCTAATTTTATGTTAGGGGTCAGAATTGTATACGTATATGTTAACATCATTATGTTTGTACAGTACATATGTTATCATGAATATGCTAACAATAGCATTTGCGGTGTTGTTGCTGCTAACTATAGCATATTGTGCTATTGCTATTCGGGTTTATTAGCTTAAAACGGTTTTCATGTTCTTCAAGTAATTTCATGTTTTATGGGCTATAGAGCAACTTGGCTGTTTTCAGATGCCCACGTTGAGATTTCAACTTTGCCCTTGGGTTTTTTGCTACACAGAACTTTTTCATGAATTTGTGCCATTTCTATATACGATTGTTATAACTTTGTATTGTTTTGTGTATATACGTGTGTACGTGTGCGTATATATATTCTGCCCTTGTTCTTGTGTCAAATACCCACAGTTGAAATCAATATATTATGGGATGGTGCGGTTGCATGGTTGTTTTCAGATTGCCCGAATATTTATAATTTGCAGCATTGTATAGACGGAATATTCAATTTGTGGCTACCTCCGATGTATGCCATTGTGATTATTCCTCGCTGCTTCGTGTGTTTGTATGTTTCTCTGTAAATTTCATGTTTTATGGGCTAGAGCACTAGCTGTTTTCAGATGCCCACGTTGAGACTTCAACATTGGGTTTTTCCTTCACAGGACATTTTCATGAATTTCTGGCATTTATATACATACATATGTTCATGTTCTCATTCAGTCTGTTCTGTTCTGTTTTGTATACGTGGCTGTTACGGCTGTTCTCGTCTAAACTTATGTTGTGTCACTGTGACCGTATATAATTTGCTACTGTTCTTGTGTTAGGAAAAATGCATGTCTATGTGGGATAGAGCGATTATCGTTTTCAGATGCTCACATTTGAAATCAATATATTGTGGGACGGTGCAGCTAGTTGTTTTCAGATTGCCCGAATATTTATATATTTTGCAGCATTGTATAAATGGAATATTCAATGTGCGGCTACCTCCGATGTATGCCATGATTATTCCGCTGCGTTGTGTGATGTATGCCAACTTCATTTCGTTGTGACGTTTACATATATGTCAATACTTCTAACGTTTTGCAGTATTGTTATAGAATATCAATTAGATTATTCCATTGCTTTTTGTCTTACATGTTATTTTATTATTGTACAGTATGTTTTTGTTAGGTTTATAGCCCGTTTAGCTGGTATGTCGATATCAATCGGTCAAGCATAGCTAATGTACATGGTGCAACTCAAATTTTGCTTGTCTGCGTTCTTTAGTCTTTCCTTTCAGCACATCCATGCTACTAGCCCAAGCATCTCAAGTACAAATGGCCGCTGAAGAAAACGTCAATCGTCCACCCTTCATGGTTGCCAGTACACTGACAGTGAAATGTTATGGCCAACTTGGTACTTCCTATCCTTCAACTATTTTCGTCCGCACCACCCGCTCCAATATAGATTTGTGGTTTGTGACTTGGCAGTACGCGGTGGCGCCAAATTAAAAATTTTATACACAATTGCGCTTTTTGCGGCCAAACCACATACTGCCATGCCAGGGGGGTTAAAAGTCATTAGGAAGCTTGAATACGCGACCAAGATGCCTATTTCTGGTTATTTTATGACAATGGGCTTCCAATCTCTTGGCAACCTAGACATTCTCCATGTAAGGCAATATATCCGATTGCAAAATTTTAATTTTCATCCCCTCGATTCTCCAGTAATGGCGCCCCAACCGCTGTCAAGTTCGACCTATCAACACCAGTCAAAATAAATAAATAAATTTATTAATGCATTTACTGGGTGGACATGATGCGAAATTGACTGTTTATTCATATGCAGGTTTTACAATTGCGAATATCGTTTCATGCAAATTATAATAATCTTATCTGCTGAACAAAACCATGAAATTGTGAGCACTATATTAAATGTCTATTATGTCTAGAGGAATAGTTGCGTGTTCGCCTTTGGGTATTGTTTATACTAAACAAGCGCCGGAATACATTATTTATTTTCTCTAAATTATATTGTTAATTTTGGTAGTCATTGCGATAAACTACGTTCGTGCTGATGTCGTACATGCGACATGTTTAATTACTTTAATATACGGCTTCAGAAACGGTTGCTAAAACACAGCTAAATATTTCGCATCATGACTTCCCGACTTGGCAGCTTCGTAATTGTCACCAATGCCGCATTCATCGCTGATTTCTTATCTCTTTGCAAATATTTGGGAGTGCCAATCCGTGAGCTCTCATTCGCAAGAATTGAATTAGACGCTTTACGCATGACAGCGCTATTTATTACTGCGGAATTTAAATTAAGTCACTTGCGTAAAAAGGTAATCCAATCCTCGATTGCCTTGCTTAATTAATTTAGTTTTGCATGTGGTCGTGCCACGTCGTGCCTTGTTACGACGGCTTGTTGATCTTACGATCTTACAAAATGCATCCGAATCGGCCCAGCATAGTCGCTATACCCTATCGCACTCGGCAATTTGCGAGGCGGTGGTAATTCAGCGTATAACGTTCTTAACAGATGATGCTGCATTGGTTGATATTATAATAAGGCTATTCGGTTCCATTTTGGGATTCGACTGTTATGATATTTGTACGTAAACTGGTGCTTGCTTGTTTTTAATTAATAGCATTAAGTATATCTTTATTTCGTATACTTGCGGCACATATCGGGATTAAAAAGTGTTTCAGGGAATCCTGTATCTCGGATACAGGTTTCTACGTTGACACAGCTTGCATCGGCCAACGTTCATTCATCACCAACAGTCATTCCGGATCGACTATCATATATATAACCTCAATTTACTTTTCTAAATTTAATTTATCCAGTTTGTTAATAACAGTATGTACAACAAATGTTTTGTTTTTCGCAAACGTCATTGCCGGCTGGATGTTGAACTGAAACAGGGGTAAGGTTCACATTTTAGCTGATCATGCATGTTTAGGTATTTTATCTTACATTTTCGTCATCGCTGGACGTTGAACCGACACAGGCGTAAGGTTTACATTTCAGCTGATGATATTTATTTCGCTAGAAACTGGTATAATACGGTATTTTATCGCCTCTGGCGACACGTATTCGTGATCGGTTGGATATTGAACTGACACAGGGGTAAAGTTCACATTTCAGCTGATCATATTTATTTCAGTAGAGGCTTGTATATAGTATATAGCGAGGTATATAGTCAACTAGGTAATTGATAGTACTGCTATTATGTAGACCAGTGCAAGTTCATTGCTTTTGACTGACAATAGCATGTGCAGTGAAACTGACCTAGATTGAGGTTTTCGTAACATGTGGTATCAGTATATGTAGATATTTTTCACGATCATCTGCAAACGATTTGTCATGTTGGGGTGGGGTGTGTCTCCTTTATCCCAAGGAGACTTGTGGCGTTAGTAATGCCCCCACCATTTCTGTGCTAAATGTTATATAGTTATTAATTAATAATTTTTCTTGTTAATTATTAAAAATTGATTAAAACAATAAAGCGGCTATGTGCCAACAACCGGGCACATAAGCCATAATTATGCCATAAAGGCTTTGACTGGTCTCGTAGTATTCGGCAGCACAGAAAACCGAGCTCAACCTGACAAACAGTTTGCCGATGGTGGTTTAATATATGTAGGGAAGCGATAAAGGAACTTATTGCCACAGCGATAAGAGTTTTTATTGCTTCCCGGAATAATTTATGGTTGAAATTAATTATGCGAAATAAGTAATTTGCGCGCGCAAGTTAATTTAGGTATAGTCACGTGACTGGAAATTTCGGTATTTATCAGTGGTGAAGCGGGCTATCTGTTCTTTCCTATTCCACGAAGGCTGCACAGTGCAGTTCACATCAAGAAATTGGATGGAAGAGAATTACCCACCCTCCTCCCCGTTGTTGGACGCGATATGTTGAACTTATATAGATACGTTATGTGTAGTGGGCGTTAGTAATGCCCCCACCTTTTCTGTGCTAAATGTTATATAGTTATTAATTAATAATTTTTCTTGTTAATTATTAAAAAATGATTAAAACAAAGCGGCTATGTGCCAACAACCGGGCACATAAGCCATAATTATGCCATAAAGGCTTTGACTGGTCTCGTAGTATTGGGCAGCACAGAAAACCGAGCTCAACCTGACAAACAGTTTGCCGATGGTGGTTTAATATATGCAGGGAAGCGATAAACAAATATAATTCACTTTCTGTTGTTGTGTCTGTACTGTAATAGAACACAGAAGACGTCATAGCATGTAAAGGACAAAAATCACTCCACTACGTCATCGTATCATACGTTTTTGTTCTTTCCACGCTATTACTTTGTCTGTGATCTATTACAGTAGATGCAAATGGAAAATTAAATCTATTTGTTAAATAGAGTATTTCTTTTCTCAGAGAATTTTCATCGCCTTCGTCATATACAAGGTTTTGTTTGGTGCACGACGGTAAGACCGTAATTTCTTGGGACAAATACATCATTTTGGTTAAAAACAAATGTTTTGGAAAACTGGAGTCGTGAAACGACAAGTACAATCGAAGTGAAACTTTCAAAACACGACTGAAATTAATCGTTGGTTTTACGAGATGTGATTATTGCAGTTAAGATAAGTGATTATTGCAGTTATTTGGGAGCATCAAGGGCGAACTACTCAAGAAATACCTCTTTAGTAAATTGTCCAGAATAAATTAATGATCTTCTGTTCGGACCTGGTACTTTTCTCATTGTTCAAGCACGTGTTCAAAGCAGTCCAACTAGTTCATATGAAACAACTACGTGAAATGGATTAAGGTTCTCAAGATATGGGTCGAAGTCGGTCTAGAAACAACGTGGAATAACCTCTTTTTATTTGACTCTGTATGTTTGCTGACTGTTTACAGATTTCAGCTCAAGAAGAAAGGTAATAGTCGACTAACGGAAGAATATATATCCGACGTATGACTTGAAGAAGGTAAATTTGGAATATACTGTACGTTGGCATAAACTTTGGGTCAATGTTAACATATTTAAAGAAATGGATTTACGGATGATCTTACTAACTGCAAGAAATGGTAAAAAATATTGCCAATAACCCACCCTACCAAGAACAACAAGACATTTAACGTGGAACAAAAGCAGAAATTTTGATATAAGACAAAGCATCGGTCCGCCATCTTGAACAGAAACCTAACACGCATGACGTCACAAGCTGGATAAAACAAAACCTTTCAGGCAACATCTCCATATTGAACTTTCAGGCAACCATCTCCATTTGAAACTCCAATTTAGATTATTTAACGGTAGCATAGAAAGACGTTTTGTGCAAATTCAACAACAAAAATAAACATTTCGTCAAGATTACCCCGTTTGTGATGTCAGTAGTTTGGTAATAATAAACTTTGAAACAAGATGGTGGATAGTGGCTTTTTCCTTCCTTCTAGCTTATACTCCATAGCAATAATGAATTTTTGTCATCATCGTACTTATGGGCTGTTTAAATGAAGCCGAGTTATCCGGAAAGACAACATGTGGGTCCCATTTACTCCCGGTTTACATGCAGTAACACGTGCGATGTTAGTTAAACCTTACCCTGGCTTACTTGGTTAGCCGCAGAGAAATATGTTTATATAGAATAATTAGCACTTCGCTCAATTAAAATCTGTCTCTTATTGTTGAGATTTCGAAAAGGCGAGTTCCCTGTATGTCCTAGGTAACCACTGCGCCGACAAATAGTATACTTCTTATAACCACCGGGATCTTACATTGCTTTGTCGGCAGATACTCGCCTCCATATGAACAGCTTCTAAGTTTCGATCGTCTATTGAGTACCAGCTTCGAAACAGAGACCTGGATTTTACGGACATTTTTCATGCTCGTACAATTGGCATGGCGTAACCAGCAGCATTTTATTTCCCCGAAATTTTCAACAAACTAAAACAAACCATTCTTACTAAAAAGACGACATTTACTTTAAAAGCAACAAAACGGAAAACTATTACCAAAATTTGGTAATATCGTTCTTACGTAAATGACGTAATTAAAATAACAACCTCCAAAATAGAAAAAATAGCTAGTTTAATCAGTTTGACTAGCCAGTTTGACTATGCATGGGAAAATTCTCGACAATCTTTGTCTACTGTCCAGGTGTTAAATAATGAATGCCCAAAGAAAATGAATTTTTAAAGTACAACTTAATTTCTATTATTATGCATTGAGATGTAAAGTAGTGCATTATGTGAGAAACTGCCAGGGTAGTCGACGTATGGAGAGATCTTGTTTAAGGACTTATCTAAAGACACTGTTTAAAGCTAGACTTGTTTCAAAAACATTTTAGCTCTTTGTAAAATTTGTTGCGGCATAACAATCTGGACAGAGTTTGGCCAAAGTCGATATTTCAATACTGGCATAAGTTTGGTTGACTGCTTAATTAACGAGGGCATGCACTTTGTGAACTGTTCGTGGATCACACTCTTCATTATTCAGACAACCTTCATTACTCGTTTCATCTCGACCGATCGCTAATGTTAATACATTTACGTCATCACTCTGGAACGTAAATTTCAAAAACACAAGAGGAAGAGCAGCAACTGTGCAAACGATTGGAATAAAAAATTAAAAAGATGGTTGTATATGGTTGTGTAAAGCGTCGTGTCAACTACTGTAATTCAATTTTTAATGTATAGTACGTATTTGGTTTGGATTGATCATTGGCTTACTGCGTCTAACTGATGAATACATTCTGGCTTAACTGATTAATAAATTCCAGCGTTGCAAGTCTCTTCAGCTGTTCCTCCCATCCTCTCATTTGGACGTCACAGTTCAAGTGCTACTGATATTTCCAGTTCTGTCACTCTTTGATGACAAACTTCATTATTCCTTTTTATCTGCATGACTACCGCTAAATTAACATTCAAGTTATCACCCTCAAACGTAAACCTCAGAAAGAAAAGGAGAATGATGTACTTCGCAAAGATTTCTGAGAGACTTTTAATGCTTCGTACTTATCTGCATTGGAATGTGAATCAGTGAATGCATTGGATATTAAATACCACTGAGCGTTCGATGTGAGCAGTGTATTATGAAACCACGCACAGAACCATGCAGAGTTATGATCCGTGTGTTACAGGTCACGATTTGGAAAGGAAGTGCATGATACCGATATGGTTCTTACGATAATTCCCAAAGAACATGTTAGAAGCAAAGAGGCGCTAATGCAAGAATTATTTTCTACGCGTGGGAGTTGTCATGCATAGGACGCACTGAGCGCTTGTGATCAGTAGACAATTACTTCCTGGAATTAAAACGTCGCAGAGAAAATCAATATTAACCTCTGGAAAATAGTGACTGTAAAACTGTAATGGCATCGGATTAGAAAATTAAATGCTTCTGGATTAAAGCTGGCGTAGGAGTTGCATTGGTAAGTTGTCATATGGACATGACGAAATACAGCTGTTATAATGCGAGGCATTCTAAGAGCATTTGTACATTTACGATGACTAAATGGAATGAAAATCTGCATGACTTTCAAGCACGTCAACCAATATCTTTGCCAGAATGCACAATTTTCCATCATACTACTCAAATTACAAAAACTAGAACTTCGGGTTTGGTTAATATTCTGTGCAGAACACATTATTTGTGTGCCGTATACTTGATAAATTAGAGAATTTTTGCATGTTTTGTACTGAGATTTTAAGATTATGAGTTTGTGAAGCAGTTTGTTATGCAGCACGCCAAATATAACTGTATATATATATATATATATATATATATATATATATATATATATATATATATATATATATATATATATATATATATATATATCTTTATTGACCAGAGAAGCATATTGGATGGCACAGCTGTGTACAATTAGCCCTTATGGCCTCAATAAGAGATCTAAACTTCGATCAAAAAATAGGATCCATTACAAGTTGTAATAATCAGTATTATAATTATAACTTATAAGCAATATTATGGTAATTTTGATCCTATTATTGATCCTAATTAATTTGTTTACTACATAACATGGTAATTTTGATCCTGCCAATGCTATAAAAGCTAGACATTGTTAAATTGTAATATAAACTGTAACCTGAGTATCAGGCTCTATTTTACAAATAGAGCCTGACGCAAAACTTAACCTGATCGCTTTCCGCCCACGGCAAAGTTTATATTTAGTATCCAATGAAAATGTCGCAGGAGAAATTTAAATTTCACACAACGACAACAACAATCTAATTATAGCATACCAGCCCACTATTAAAACGGCTGAATTTAAATTAAAACTGCAATGAACTTATAAAATTAACAAAAATAATCACAAATTAGCGAAATATATTGCAAATGTAGCTTATATTAAATCGCCACCCGATTGCTCTCTCCTCCGCAGAGGTTTCAGTGACTACAATGAGCTTTACATGGCGCTTACCGTATTTATCAACAAACTGACATATAATTATAAAGTATATATATATATATATTAAGTATACTTTATAACTATACGTCAGTTAGTCGATAGTGCAATCTGATGGCGATTTAATATAAGCTATATTTGCAATATATTTCGCTAATTTGCGATTATTTTCTAATTTTACTGCAGTTTTAATTTAAATTCAGCCGTTTAGTGGGCCGGCTATAATTGTAGTTGTGATCGTTATAAAATATATCAACAACAATTAGCACCAGCCAATCAAATGCCAGATTTAAAAAATCGTTTGTCTAATCGGCCAATCAGCGCTCAGTCCAGATTCTGGACTGAATACCCAGGCAAAATGCCGCTTTTGTGTCAGGCCGTACTTTTCTCCCCTTCACCCGCGACCAAAACAAAAAGTATGAACAAAAAATGTAAATCACATTACAGAATATATTAATACAAATATACAGAAAACTGCAGCAAATACAACAATATATATATATATATATATATATATATATATATATATATATTGTATATATATATATATGACAATCTCATACTATGTAACGTGTATTAGGATATTACAGTTTATATGGCTAAGTCGGCCATTTTACTTTTCTCACGATGGAACTTAACTTGTCAGTTGTCATGTAATGACAGAGACTAAGCCACATTATCTAAATCACTCAAAACTAGTTGCACAGACAGAAATGTGAACATGCTCGCCATTCTACCCTGTCGAAACTTTAATATCCTAAAACACTCTTAACGAATTGAAATCCAATATATATATATATATATATATATATATATATATATATATATATATATATATATATATATATATATATATATATATATATATATATATATACATATATATATATATTTTTTATGTCTAACTAATTGAAGTATATACTTTTTCAAAAAATCGTTCTACTTGTTTGATCACGGTATCAAAACACGAGAAAATATTCAATGAATCTTGAGGGGTAATGCTCAGAGAGATTTTTTGCTTTCGAGTGTTTTGATCAAACACGCAGAACCAGTTTTTGGAATGACATCCCGAATGACAGGCAATGAATCAATCGGTCACCTGCACCGTTGTGGGATGTTTTGTGGTTAGTGGTTTTTGTGTAACTAACATAATATGAAATGAAACACTGGTTGGTTTGGTGAGGAAGTATTCGATACAACAGCGTTTTACCGAGTTTGAAAGCCCACGACAGATTGAGATTGCCTGATTGAGTGAGTAAAATTCGTATGAATTATTAATGAGTTTGGGAAACCCTATTTGACTTTAAGAGCAAATTGCATTTGGGTATATGTGTAAGAGAGCACTTCACTTGCGATGGTAACTTCTCAAAATTGTTAACAATTCGTGAGTCAAAAACAAATTCGTCACGTGATCGCTTTTATATTCACTACTATAAAAGCTCATGTAATTTTCCCGACCCGCGCAACTTTCCGACCAAGGGCCTTGCTATAAACAGCTACAGTTTATCATACACTTAAAAACCGTTTATCTCATTTAACAACAGCTCGAAGGTGCTTATATTCACGGCTAGTTGTACTTCTGTTCTAAATTATTGTAGGATATAAGCGAAAGAGTCTGATATGATTTCCGTATACCAGTCTCGTGTGAATATGGTCAGGGTGTATAAAAAAAACTGAACAGATATGAATATGCTCTCAATTTCGTAAAACAGCTATTAATGTCCAGTTTTTGATGTATATAGCTTCCTTGGGTATATATAATGTAGAATAATGAAGAAAAATTCTCGAACTCAAATTTTGTGAACCAGGGGGGTGGGGGTCTTTTCCAGCAAACTGAAAATGGCTTGCGCACGAAATTTAAAGCTTTAATCATAATTATTATGAGTTAACAAATGAAAAATTTGTTATGTTTTTAATTATTGTACAAAATTTCATACAATTTGCTTTAGTTTGATTAATGCCTTTACTTAATTTGCATATTGCTGACATACGCAAATTAGGCAAATGCATTAATTAAGCATGAAAATAGTTGATTTTTAGGAAAAAATGTAAGTTCGCGCAAATAGTTAAAGGGCTTAAACTTAAGCAAATTGTCTGAAATTTTGTACAGTAATTAAAAACCCAAACATTTTTCATCTATTAACTCAAAATATGATTAAAGCTTTTAAATTTCGTGCGCAAGACATTTTTAGTCTGTTGGAAAAGACACCCCCTTCCCTGGTTCACAAAATTTGAGTTCGAGAATTTTTTTTCATTCTTCTACATCATAAGTACCCATGCAAAGAAGCTATATACATCAAAAACTGGATACTAATAGCTGTTTTGCGAAATTGAGAGCAATTTCAAATCTGTTCAGTTTTTTATTATACACCCTGTAGTTACTATAATTCCAGCAATAAATAAACTGTTTAATTTTTTCTGTGTTGGTGTTGTGTACTCAGGTGAATATAATGTTTGTGATGTTACTCTGAGTGTATATACACACCGAGCGAGCTTGAAAAATATGCCCGGCCACGGTGGGAATCGAACCTACGACCTTTGGAATACTAGCCCGATGCTCTGCCAACTGAGCTACGCGGTCAGGACGGTTCGAGTAAGTGATATTTCGGAACAGAATCTAGTTCCTTCGATACCAATGTAATCTAGTAATAAGATTTTTTCTGTGTTGGTGTTGTGTACTCAGGTGAATATGATGTTTGTGATGTTACTCTGAATGTATATCCACACCGGGCGAGCTTGAAAAATATGCCCGGTCACGGTGGGAATCGAACCTACGATCTTTGGAATACTAGCCCCATGCTCTGCCAACTGAGCTACGCGGAAGGACGGTTCGAGTAAGTGATATTTCGGAACAGAATCTAGTTCCTTCGATACCAATGTAATCTAGTAATAAGATTTTTTCTGTGTTGGTGTTGTGTACTCAGGTGAATATGATGTTTGTGATGTTACTCTGAATGTATATCCACACCGGGCGAGCTTGAAAAATATGCCCGGTCACGGTGGGAATCGAACCTACGATCTTTGGAATACTAGCCCCATGCTCTGCCAACTGAGCTACGCGGAAGGACGGTTCGAGTAAGTGATATTTCGGAACAGAATCTAGTTCCTTCGATACCAATGTAATCTAGTAATAAGATTTTTTCTGTGTTGGTGTTGTGTACTCAGGTGAATATGATGTTTGTGCATCATGTTACTCTGAGTGTATATCCACACTGGGCGAGCTTGAAAAATATGCCCGGCCACGGTGTGAATCGAACCTACGACCTTTGGAATACTAACCCAGTGCTCTGCCAACTCAGCTACGCGGTCAGAACGGTTCGAGTTTAGTTTTAACAGCATTTCGCTCAGTTCTCCTTTTGGCCCTTGTGTTGGCGTAACAACGCGAAATGACGTAATGCTTATCTGTATAGGAACGTCACATTTTTTGAAATTACACCGACTAAAATGCAATCCAAAATGATAGTACAAATAAAACTCTAAAATTAAAGGAGATTCAGAACGCTCTTCGATAGGAACCATCAAAGCGATGAAAAGCGGATTCGTACACGAATCAAATCTTAGAAACAGACCAATAGGGTATATTGAAATTAAAATACCATTTGCCATTCCAGACATTCAAAGTCCTTGAGGAATCAGTATTTTAATTTTGCTCAAATGTGGATCGGAGCGGCATAAGCCGCTGATACTGATTTTTTGCGGCGCAGATAGTATAGTTATAGATTTACGTGTATTTCCCGCTATTCGTAAGTAGCCGTACTTAGCTCGTAAAAAGCGAGGCTTAAATAAAACTACTAGAAAATACATGCATGCAGAAACCCTCGCCTTGCTGACAAAACCGTGGTATTTTCCGAACATGAAGTATCTAGAACAGTTGTCATGGTAACACGATAATTTTTTTAAGAATATTCTTACAAATCTCCTAAAAATATCACTTTTAATTACAAAGTTATCAATTTCCCAACATATATATGTTAGGTATGTTATTATACGTAATATAGGCTTCAATTTAAGATAAAATTCAACCACAAACGTTTCGCAAAACGTTTTAAAGTGTTCTTTATATACTAAACAGCCTTTTATGATTAAATGGCTTTATCGATAAACTTTGAGTTTGCAATAAAATGATTTCAAATTCTCGCTTGCAAACAACTTTGCTCTCTTTTTTTTAAAAAAAATTCAATATAATAAAAAAGGGAATCAATATTAAAGATACACTGAAATTATATGCTGTCTTGTTTAGTTGTTTCATAGTTTCATATACGCAAAGGCCGTCGGGTTTTAAATCCATTATAAAATCAATATTTAAAACAAAGACAACAAACTTACCTTAGTTAATGTCGGCTCCCTTCTTTTAGCCGATTCTTTCGCTCTTTCTTGATGAGAAAACTTTTGAAATTTACAAAATTATGCAAAATTGCGAGCAAAAAATTCATCAATCATCAAATCAAGAAATGTTTGCTTTTTCGCTGTCGTCATGCAGTCGTTATAATGCAAATTTGAAATTGGACCAATCAGTGTCCGCTATTCATGACAGTCCGCCATATATTTGAGATCAGTGAGGATGACCACCCACGGTTGGTCACCCACGCCCGCGATATTTGATGAACTTTAGACTCCGCTAATGCTTTCGTTTCCCCGGGTGTAAATAGCCGGGGGGAATTAGTACCCTCGCACGGCGCTTCGCGCCGCCGGCTCGGGGATAAATATATTCCACATTCCCACAATGCGCGTTGCTGATCCAATATTTGTTTGCATTGCATGTTCAGAGGATCATCGAGAGTAAGAAATGACGACTATCAAACGTGTACATCGACACTAATCAATTAAAGCCGTATACCCAAAAAATAAGCTAAATGAAAGTTTGTACATGCATTAACAACCTATATCTCGCGCATTAAACCAGTTGAATGTATCGCATTGCAGTATTTGATTTCTTTATCGTGCAATAAAGTTGTACACTATAAAATATTAACATTACCCATTGTGGTTACTATGTGTATGATAAGGGATACAGTTTAGGAATATTAATTCAACATCCCCTTCCGCCAAGGTTTCATTTCCTTTTATTAAATATAAAATATTCAACCGGTTTCAGCATGTAGCTTGTACATAGTAGTAGAAGAACTTTATTTATCCACGCTGACCCCGTCAACCGTAGCTGATTTCCACGGGGGGCGTGTGCCAGAAAATTATTTTACATGCAGAATATGATAAGGATAAGCTAAGCTATTACAGTAATATATAAATTTAAAAGATATAACAAATGTTTTGAGCTATTTACAGGTAAATTATATTTACAAAGGTTACCAAGCACTAATGTGAGCAGTGATTTTATTTCGAAAGGAAGAAAGTGTCTTGCTTTCCCTAATTTCTTTTGGTATAGAATTCCAAATGTTTGCTCCGTCGTACATAAAACTATTTTTCATGCTATTTGTACGTGGTTTTGGTAAATAAAGACCACTTGAGACATCCCGAAGGTGGTAAATAGTTTTCTCACTCTTAAACGAAAATAGATTTGTGAGTGATTTTGGGCCTATTTTGTTTAATAACTTATACATCATTCTTGCTTTAGTTTTCTTCCTTTCGGTTTGGAGTGGCTCCCAGCCCAAAGTACGTAAAGCAATCGTATAATCTACGTCATTGCTTATATTCAGAATAATTCTTGCCGCTCTATTTTGCAGTTTTTGCAGTCCTTTTGATTGAGTTTCACCAAATACATCCCATACTTCACAGCAGTAGTCAAAGTACGGACGAACAATAGTGTTATATATCAAAATAAGTGTATCTTGATCAACAAATGGTTTGATCCGACGAATAGCAGAGATTCCTGCTGTAACTTTTTTGCAAATATTTTCGGTATTACTTTTCCAAGATAAATGCTGGTCAATTGTACTCCTAGAGTTTTGCATTCATGAACTTGTTTAATTTGTATATTTTCAATGTAAACATTTGGGCAAGAATCAGAAATATTTTTGATCATAGGTTTAGAGCCAATCAACATAAACTCTGTCTTAGCTACATTGAGGCTAAGTTTATATTGGCTATTAATCATTTTCTAAGGTTCTCCAAATCAGAATTTACTGCAGTCTCTAGGTCAGTCATAGAATTTGCTGAAGCAGTCAGATTTGTGTCATCAGCAAACAACCGCGGTTTGGTTTTATTTAGACAATGTGGCAAATCATTGATGTACAACAAAAAGAATAATGCCCCTAATATAGAGCCTTGTGGTACACCACATTTAATCAAGGGCTCAGATGAAAATGAGTTTTTTATTTGGCACTTCTGGTTTCGGTTTGTGAGATAGGATTTGAGCAAAGTTAGAGTTTGTCCTTTTATTCCATATAGCTCTAATTTGTTCAGCAGAATTTGATGATCAACAGTATCAAAGACTTTCTTCAAATCAATTAAAACTACTAGGTTAAACATTTTTCTGTCTAGATTTACATACCAATCATTAGTACAGTCTAGTATAGCCTTCTCCGCAGGCCTCTCTATGGGTTCTAGCCTGCGAATGGGTTTGAAAAAAAAATTTTCTGGGAGAGAGGCCTGCCATAAATCGAACAAAATGGACGTGTCAATGTACCTTAGTGGCCGTGTCAATGTACCCCACCCCCTAAGTAGGCTTTTGACCCTAATTATATATTCAGTTTGAAATCTTCAGGCGAGGAGCGAAGCTTGCGAGTATTAACTTTAAAAATGTTTTAAAATGTATCGAAATATTCAAGTTATACGAAAATTAGTTGGTCAATTGAAAGGATTATATATCACGATGTCTCTCGCGGTCTAAAAACGACGTGCAAATTTAATTGAATCGCTCGCTCGAAGCAACCAAATGTTTACAATGTATCAATTGTTCAGCCGAGGAACTACAATTTGAGGAAATTATCTGGCATAATTTCGAACGCAAAACGAAGAATGGAACGATACGAAAGGTATAATTTGTTTAATAAAGGAATTATATTAAATTGTATTGTTTTCTGGAGTATTATTTTGGCATGTTTATTTATATGAAGGGGTTGAAATTTTGATTATATTTTACCAATTTTAGTCAAATCATCAGACATTTGGCAACATGTTAAGTGAATTGATATATAAAAGGAAAAGATCTTTCTGTTGAAGCAACCATTTCAATAAGTGAGGAGAGATAACAACTTGGAAATATCAACTACAGAAATTTGATTACTACAAAAGCCTACAAAAATCAAGATTTTGTTGGCATCTTAAGCCTGGTTTACATATGCCTGCATTATCATTGTTTACAGCTGTTGATGCATACATGTCATTCTTTTGTAAATTATTTATAGTTGAACTTTTAACAACAATAGCCCATCAACAAATAGCAGGTATATGTGAACCAGGTTTCACTTGGTTAAATAGTTAATTGGAACTCACCCCCTTAATTAATATCATGTGAATATGCTAAACCCATTAATAAGTTGCATTGTGACACATGTAACAACCTCTTTCTAATATAGTATATGCCTAGTTGTGTTACACGTACTGGCCACATGACATCCATGATTTGATAATTAAAGAAATTTATGATGTATCTGCATATTTTCTAATTATATGTATCTCCTTTGTTCATGTTCAGAGCCTACAATGCCAGGGGCCTACAACAAGTTCTTGTTATCTCATTGCTTGCCGGCACGCCCCTGCTTTTACTCTGTCTAACATCAGACAATTTTACTATTCCAGGGGAGAGTGCAAACAATGGGCTAATCTAAAGCTTCACAGCTTACAATTAATATGTACCCACCATTGAAAGACTTTTGGGTGGTTAATGTAACAATTAATAGCAAAACATGCAGGGATGGATTTACTGGGGGGGGGGAGGGTGCACACCCCCTCCCTAGCCCTGGCCAGGGGGTATGTGTGTGCTATTTTTCATGATAAAGCAAAAAATATTAGAGACAAAATGAGATATTGTACACAGTACACTTGTACCACATGGAGGTTGTTTTGCCAAATTCTCAGAATACTGCTGTTGCTGTATGTTAATGGCGGGTGACATGATGACACAACTCGAGTCACTCGACACCAGAGCTGGCAGAGCACCCCCCTACCAGATCATGCTGGATCCATCCCTGAAAAGACGTCTATCACTGGGAAGTTTCCTCAGTGACTGTTTGTATGGTTATAGGGAAATTTGCCTTGCAAAATGGATTTTACCCATGTAAATATTTTGTCTGTGAACTTTGGCAAGCAAAATGGAATGTATGTAATGTCTCCAATGGTTAATTAACAAATCCAAGGCAAATGTTATTAAAACATTTATTCTTCATACATATTGCACCACATGGAAAACTATTAGATTCTTATTAAATTCCAGTTGTGCTTTCCCTTATGTCTACATTACTCACACCCATATATAAAACAGGGCCACTGATTTAACTCGGAAAGCTTTTGCTAATTTTCGCCACATCTGAGACACTCAAGTTTGAAAACTTTGTCTTTGTCCAAGGGATAAATTGCACAGTGTATTCCACAATAAGAAAGCTATTTGTTTAAGACTTTTATTAATGATTTCCTTCCATACAAGCGTATTAAAACAAGGCAAGAGGTGTTTATATATTTAATAAGCAGGAACAGTCACAGATGTCAACAGTTGAATTTACATTTATATATTGACAATTTTCGATCGTTCCTTTTCGTGTTACAATTTCGACTAAATCACTTGCACTTTCAGGTTATTATGATATAAAATCTCGTCAACAATTTGAATAGAAATTTGTATATATCAACGATAAACTTTCAATTGAAACCTTGTTTTGACAAATGTCTTGACATGAATCGACGACATTGTGAATTCACTGCTCTGCAAAGTCACTCGTTTATCTCTATAAAACAATCCCAGTATTGGCCAGTAAATCTCTGAGTCGGCTTTCGATAACGTTCTCAGCTCCTTAGTCAAAGTTCCCTTTGTATTTGCAATGTTGAAGAGCAGGATTATTCGTTAATTTTACAGTTTTACTCGTCTTGTAAGCCATCGTGTTGAAAACAAAATTTTCTTCACTCCTTGCCGTAAGCCCTTCCTACTCCCCCTAAGTTTGAGTTTGTCGAAATTTGCATGCGCGAGCCGGTATGCGCAGTGCAAATTTTTGTGTCGATTTATGGCAGGCATCTCACCAAACTTTTTCCCACCACCCGATTCGTCGGGTGAGATGCCTGCGGAGGAGGCTAAGTCTAGTAGTGCATTAGCTGTAGAGTGAAATTTTCGAAATCCAAATTGGGAATCACTGAGAAGCTCAAATTTTGTTAAATAGTTATACAGTTGATCATACAATATCCGTTCCATAATTTTACTAATGGCCGATAAAACTGATATTGGTCTGTAGTTTCCAGGAATACTACGCTGGCCATTTTTATATAGAGGCATCACTCTAGCAACCTTCCTTTTCATTCATCAGGAAAAGAAGATAAAGTAATAGCCTGATTGAAAATAAGTGGCAGTGAATCTGAGATGACAGGTGCAGCTAATCAGTTAATAATTTTGGAAGAGATTTTATCGATGCCAGTGGCTTTATTGTTGGAAAGTCCATGCAAAAGATGAGAGACATGACTGACAGTAACAGGTTGGAAAGCCGCAAATTCTGATTGAGCATTTTTGACATAGGTTTCAAAATTGGAATTTGAATAATCCATTTTGCTAGATAGATGTGGGCCTATATTTGAAACATATTCATTAAAGCCATCCGCAATATCTTCAGGACTTGTCAAATTTTGTTCACCTACATTTAGTTCATTTACCACTGTTGGTTTGTTTTGCCTACCTAACAAGTTGTTTATACTTCTCCAAGCTTTCTTGGTATTAATTTTTTGACCAGCTATTTTCGAGGAATAATAATCTTTTTTGGCACTTCTTAGTTCAATATTTACTTTGTTTCTAGCTGTTTTAAAGTTTAACCAATTATTCTCATGGTTTGTCAAAATGGCTTTTCGTTTAAACTTGTCCCTTGTATTCGTAAGTTTCTTTATATCACTTGAAATCCAAGGGACTTTTTTCGATGTTATCTTCTTTTGCTGAAGTGGTGCATGTTTGTCTAGGACTTCAAAAAATAAATTTTTCCAAATTCCCCACATGGCATTTGGATCATCAGCAAAGAAATACACAGTCATATTTCCAGTGTTGTTTTAGCAGTTCTCCAATAAATTTTCCTTCATCAAAATTTTTCATGTTTCTAATTTCAAGAGTATTTTCTTGTTTTGTAACAATAGAAATTTTCCTGATTGCAAATACTAAGCTATGATCACTAATACCTGTGTGAATGACACCAGAATCAGAGATTTTCTCTGGCATATTAGTAACAATATGATCAATAAGACTGGTGGTTGTTGGAATTATTCGAGTAGCTTCATCTATCAGTTGTGTTAATTGGTATAATTCATATAGTGATTTTATTTTCTTTGTTGGAATATTTGAATCGTTATTTGTTTTTAGCATATTACAGTTCAGATCACCCAGGATATACATTTCTTTATTTTCATTATCAACATCTTTGATCAATTTTTCAAAATGATCAAAGAATTCTGATGATGCACTGGGTGGTGTATAGACTGTGGTGACAAGAAATGGTTTGCTATGCGGCTTAATAATTTCAACACAGACAGCTTCGAGTTCAGTGGGAACTAGATCATTTCTTACTTTGTAATTTATGGAGCTACGCAAGTAAATACAAACCCCACCACCGTTTCATGAGTTACATAATCGCATTAAGAGTGGTGGTTATATCAGTCCTAATTTGACGTTCGTCCAGCTAACATATTGTGTCGGTCTTTGAGAAACGTCGAGGTCTATACTCTAAGAAAAGAAGAAAATGTTAAAACTCATGGTTCTTTTTCTCATTCTCGCCATCAACGCTAAAGGTAAAATATTAATATAGATGTACAAGTTTTAGTTATTTTATAGACATAAGTTCCTGCCGTGTTGTTGACGAATTTTGTAATTAGCCTTTGCTATCTTGATCAATGCCCACACACCATTTTCCCGACCATCAAATTTTGCTGAAATTAATTCAATAAATTAGACCAACGTGAAACAACGCTCGAGAAACAGAGCGCTACGAGTTTGCTCCAGTGTGAAGACAGAATTTTAGGTGGTTCCGTGAATTTCTGAGGGTTAGTTGTTAGTTAGTAAATAATTTAAGACTCATTAGTGAGATTATAGCGGGATTTTAGTAAAGGAGGTAAACTGGCCGGGTATTTGAAGACGATAGTTACGCCTCTGTGGAGGAGAGAATTATATATCGATACAAATCTCTAATGACACGAGTATCCCTTCTCTCGGCCTACAATAACAGACTAAACTCAGGCGTGGGGCATTTTCAACAATTTTTCAAAAGAATATTGGCAGCAGATCGCTCCGATGTTCTGTGGAGAATGAAAAAAACTCCGAAAGATTTCTAAATCCAGTCATCAATTAAAACCAGTGGACCCTTTCATGCATACACAACGTAGTGTCTAGTAAACAATGGCAAAGGCAGGCACTTGGCTTTGGAAGACAAAGCAAACACAATGTCCAAACAATGGCATGCAGGGAAACCTGAAGGAATAGAACGTGTACCTCTAGGGTCACAAAAGTATTGAAAGGATTTGTGGATGGAAATTTCGATTGGAATTTGTATACATTTATTAGACCAAACCACGTAGCAGCAGTTGCCAAAATGCATCTATCGGCACGAATCTAACCTGTGGCCTAAGATTTAGGTGTAGCGCTCTAACATCTGGAAATACCTTCAATAATATACCCAAAAACGTCTAAACAAAACCCATCTAAGGCATATGGGTTAAGATTTGAATTATAGCTGTAAAACGTATGTACTTTACCATGGAACTAAATATCAGATCGTCGAATGGGAATAACAAATTGCTGCTAAGCAATGAATTGATATCAAAATATAAAATCGATAGGAACATGCAACATTCATTCCAATATTTTAGAATAATTTAAGTATAAATTAAATAAACACAAAAAATATTAAATATAAAACATTTCTAGGAGGTTGCACTAATTGATTATTTTTCCATTTTATCTCTCTCTTTGTGATTTACAAATACTTTTTAAATACTTTACAGAAGCACACGCAGACCCAAAGGTTTGTCCAGATGGTTGGATGCATCTTGTTTCATCATGTTATTACTTCAGTACATATAAGACTATCTGGTCAAAGGCAAGAGCAGCCTGTCAAAAGCTTGGAGGGGACCTGGCTGTTCCCACAAACAATAAGGAAAATGTCGCAATCTGGAACATTGCCAAACAAAAAAGTTTGTCTCATCCCTGGATAGGTTTGGTCAGACATAAAGATACGAAATTTTATACTGTCCAAGGAATAAAGGTATCTTATACAAATTGGTCACCTGGAGAACCAAATAACCATAAAACTGAAAATTGTGTACATTTGTTAATTAACACTAATGGCCACTGGAATGATCACGGTTGCCCATGGAATTACAATTTTATTTGCCAACAATCTAGCATTAAACGTAAGTAGACTATTAACATGGTAAGAATTATTCTTTGTTACTGATTTGTTAACTTATTCGCTGTCAACCAGTCATGAACATTTTTGAGTTCAATATTTAGTCTTACATGCATATCACTTGCCAGTCCTCCAGAAACCGATAAATGCGTATCATCACCGTTCATATCTGGTATAGTTGTTTTTAGCAATTGGGCAAATCATTTATGTAAATCAACAATACGAGTGGACACAGATTGGATCCTATAGAACTCCACATGCAATATGTTTTAATGAAGATGTAGTATTATTAATAACTGTTATGCGACCTCCTCTGTGAATAATATTATAAGGAAAAGCAGGCTAATGAAGTATTTTTGATTCCATATAATTTCAATTTCGTAATATGAAGGATTAGGCAACTGTATCAAATTAAATGACTTTTTGAGGTCAAGAAAAAACCCCTCAGAATCCATGTTTACTAACTATTAGTTGGTTGCAGAAAGTTAATGACCTTCCCTAAAACAAGTTATAATATAAGTGGGATATAACAGACAATTTGATTGGCTAATGCGCGTGCATTGTGATGCAATAATGCGCTGTGGTCCGTGGCAATGCCTTGCTCTTTCTGTGATTTTCCATGGTTTTTAGCCAAAATATAAACAAAACTATATAGCTTTTTTTTAACTACAAAATTTATCAGAAAGCAAGAAGGAATACACCAATGGAACAAAGCAATTTTAATGGTAATTTTTACGAGTACAAATTATTGTTAATGGACGATACTCAATGCGCTAGACCTAAAAATTATAGATTTAAAATGTCTATGTTAAGCCAACTCAAAAGCTACTATTGTCTAAACAAAGGAAGACTCTATCACAGACTTTCATTATTTGCTTGCCAAACCCGTAGGCTACTGCACCCAGTATCGTTTATTAATTATTGTCCAAACAACTATGTTTGACCTATTCATAACTATAACAATGAAACTATAGTTAAACATGGGCAGATATCCGAGTTAGCTTTATCTGCCTATATCATTCTTACTTGGATTGCGAGCTGTAAAGACTGATTTAAAGAGTCATTTAATAAATTAATCGTTTCACGTTTATCATTTCTAAACGTCCACCAAAAATAATGCCAAGGGTTAGCAAACCACGTCAGCAGGATCAACGACCATCCAGTATTCAACCGTCCGTCCAAGTACCGAGCAATTTGGGCGAGTTATCAATTTTAGAGTTGAAGAACCTTTGCCGCGAACTCAACTTTTCCTGCGCTGGCGGCCGACGGGTACTTACAACGCGTCTACAAAACGAAAGAGAACGTCTAAACACGAATACGCCGCAATCCAACATTCAAACCGTTCCAGTAAACAACACGTTATCTAATTCCAACGGAAGGGAAAGCTTCAGCGCCGACCAACTGGCACAGATCACGCAAATTGTTTCGCAGTCGATTTCGTCTTTCTTCGAAAGCCAACACGCCACAACAACCGCGACTCGTGTAGATGAGCAGCCAACTATCCAGCCACCGCCAACGCCACTCGAAAGGCTAGAACAGCTTGGTCAATTTCCATTTTTAAGTTCCAGCGAGCTCCAGCAGCAGCCGACTTCATCCCATGGACCTGTTGCCTCAATCCAGCAAGCAGATGGGGGATTCACGCCAGAGATTCCAAACAAATACGTTCGTGACATCGAAAGTGGTGAGTTTTTTGAGCTTGCTAAATTATTGCCAAAAAATTTAAATAAGTTAAATGTTGGTTCCGATTCTCCTGACAACGTGGGTTTCACAATTTCCTCTACGGGAATCTCATTAACACCGCGCAAACCTCAAGTGCTGACTAACATTGAAGAGTGGACAACCGCTTTCAACACGTATATGTTAATCATAGTACAAAAATTTCCAAATCGTGCATCAGAACTTTTACAGTACATGGAAACCATCCGTCATACGGCAAAAACGCATGGCGGTTTAGGCTGGTGCATATATGATCATAAATTTCGCTATAAAGCCGCCGCGTGTCGAACATTGTCGTGGGCCAACATTGACATGCAGTTATGGTTGCGTATTTTCACCGCTAGCTCTACTCAGTTGCGGGATGATTATTCCCTTTTTTCTAACGGACCCTCAAACAAAGCTGGGGCAGCGAGGGACGGAATTTGCCACAGCTACAACAGGGATAGACCTTGCCCATTACGACCCAATTGCCCTTACACTCACCGATGTAACCGAATTGGCTGTGGGGGGAACCATCCTGGGTACCAATGTCCACAATCCCGTGGGGAAAACGATCATAACGACGACCACCCTTCACAATCCGCCCGTAGCTCCGCGAAGACCAACAGAAAATAGAACTGTTAGTTCAAAGTGTAGTATACCAATGTCCACAATCCCGTGGGGAAAACGATCATAACGACGACCACCCTTCACAATCCGCCCGTAGCTCCGCGAAGACCAACAGAAAATAGAACTGTTAGTTTAAAGTGTAGTATATATAATAGCAGTAATTCAATACCTTTAGATAATACTATAGTTACGCCAATTCGCGTTGACGCGCTTGAAGGTTGTGGGCATCCCAATTCATCATTCGTTTTGAAACTCCGTTCAGACTTGCGTTTCGGTGCTCGTCTCGGTTACGGTGGTCCTCGCATGTCAAAATTTTCGAAAAACCTCAAGTCTGCCATTGACAATCCAACTATTGTTTCAACTAACTTAGCTAAGGAAGTTGCTCTTGGCCACACAGCTGGTCCTTTCACCAATCCGCCATTTGCTAATTTACAGGTTTCGCCAATTGGCATTGTACCTAAAAAGCATTCAGATAAATTTCGAACCATTTTTCACCTCTCGTTTCCAAAAACGGTAGAATCAATCAATTCCTTTATCGAGAAAGACGACTTTTCATTGCAGTACATAAAAATCGACGACGCAATTGCGGCTTTAATCCGATTAGGCAGAGGCACTTATCTAGCTAAAACTGACATAGAATCTGCTTTTCGTCAATTCCCTGTTCATCCTGACGACTGGGAGTTATTAGGCATATATTGGAACAAGTCCTATTATTTTGACAAAGTGTTGCCATTTGGTCTGCGTAGTGCGCCGTATATTTTCAATCAACTTTCGGATGCACTTGAATGGATTTTACTCAACAAGTGTTTTATAAGCTATGTTGGGCACATTCTAGACGATTTTCTCATCATGGAACCACCGGCCCAAACTGGGCTACCTTCTCAAGCATGCCAAACTAGCCTTTCTAGCATGTTGTTAACATTCCGCACGTTAGGTGTTCCTATTGCCGAGCATAAAACTGAAGGACCCAGTCTCATTATAGAATTTCTAGGCATTATCATTGACTCACAAAAGATGGAGGCTCGTCTTCCATCCGATAAATTGAACCGTCTATTTGTTGATTTAAATTCGTGGCACACAAAAAAGTCAGCTACACTCCAAGAGCTCCAATCACTAATTGGCACATTAAATTTTGCATGCAAAGTAATTGCCCCGGGTCGAGCTTTTCTGCAACGTATCATAAATCTAACACGGGGTGTCTCCAAACCACATCATCACATTCGCTTGACGAATGGTTTTCGCGAAGACGTAAAAATGTGGCAACTTTTTCTTAAAGACTGGAATGGGACAAGTCTATTTCTCAACTCTTTCTGGGAAAATTCTACAAACTTTTCTCTCTATACGGATGCCTCGGGGACCCTTGGTTTTGGGGGAATTTTTCGCAACCAGTGGTTTCAGGGTAAATGGTTGCCTCACCAAACACTTACCACAAAAAATATCAGCATTGATTGGCAAGAGCTCTATGCTATTGTGGTAGCCTCCTACATATGGGCACCTTTATCGGCTCAAAAACGAATTGTGTTTTACTGCGATAACCAGGCAGTGGTTTCCATAATCAATTCCAAACGTTCAAAAAGCCCTCGTATTATGGACTTAGTGCGTCCTTTAACCTTACAAACACTGAAATATAACTTTTATTTCAAAGCCTTACATGTGCCTGGTCATTATAATGACATTGCTGATTCTATCTCCCGTTTTCAGCAAACCAGATTTCGGCGGCTAGCACCGCATGCAGACCATCAACCTCAACCTCTACCAGAGGAACTTTCTCGTCTCTAGACGCTGACTTACGTCGTTATCAACTTGCTTCGTTAGCTAAAGGTACGATTAAAACTTATAGCAGTGGCGAAAAACAGTTCACGAATTTCTACTATCAATTTCATTTACATAAGTATGTCCCTCTTTTGCCAACAATGGAAAACATTCTGATTTACTTTGCTGTTTTTCTCGCTAAGACGGTAAATCCAGACACCATCAAAGTCTATCTCGCAGCAGTACGCCATATGCATTTGGTTAACGGCTACGACCTTCAAATCACCAAATTTCAACGCCTACACTATATTTTGCGAGGTATAAAGCGAGTAAAAGGAGTGTCTACAAGAACACGCCTACCAATTACATTAGACCATTTGAAATTGTTTCACCGCATATTACACTCACGGACATCGCCAACACATGATGAAACCATGATTTGGGCAGCGATTTCCATAGCATTTTTCGGGGTTTTGCGGATTGGTGAAATGACTTGCTCCGGTCCTTATAATTCTTCAACAAACCTTTGCCGATCAGATGTAAGTTTTCATAACAAAAAACGTGGGGATAACGAGGTTTTTCTGCAACTACGAATTAAAGCGTCAAAAACCGATCCGTTTCGAGCCTCAGCCACAATAACCATTGACAGCAATTCTGGTATGTATTGTCCAGTAAGGGCCCTTCAAACCTACCTTTCACGTGCGCCAACGGACTATGCGGGACCATTGTTTTGCTACTCAAACGGTGTTCCTTTATCACGTAGTCAATTTACTAAGGAACTACGAACACTTTTGGCCCAAGGTGGTCATCGATCACCCTGCTCACTATGCAGGCCACAGCTTTAGAATCGGAACGGCTACCACAGCTGCGTCCCAAGGTTTGCCTCATTGGCTTATTCAAACGCTAGGAAGATGGTCTTCCGATTGTTACCTCAGATATATTCGCACGCCAATCAATGTCCTTACAGACGTTTCAAAACGATTGATTGCGGAGTGAGATAAACACTCGATCGTTGTTTGTCGGTCTATGGGGATCACACAAACTATCGTTGTGTGATTGTGGAGGCAATTGCTCTAGTATGAGGTCGCAATTTTACCATAGACCTCACGTTTTCTTTACGGAATTTGGCAACCTGGCAACAAAAATCACTCTATTTCTGCATATGAGTATATGTGCTGAGCCAGATCAGTGTTCTAAGAAATATTTCCCTGATAATTTTTTCCCAGGGCCCAGCTCAGAGTATATGTCTTGCAGGGCAGGCTAGGACACAGCTCTAAATGGAGTATATGTTCTAGCCGACTCAGGACCCAGCTCAAAATCCGTAAAAGTATATGTCTTGGGTAGATTAGGACCCAGCTGCAAATCAGTATATGTCCTAATCGACTTTCCCCAAGATCCAGCTTTTCAATACGAGTATATGCCCTGGGAACCGCTCAGCACCCAGCTCTTCGCAGATAAAAAATACAGTATATAGAGCAGTTGTCCCACACTTCCATAACCCCACAAACCTTGTGTTCTTATGCGTGTCGTTATATTAAATATCTCAATATATATATATTTATTAAACGGTGAGGACATTAAGTGGTAGGCTATTTCAGCTAACAGAGTTACGAAGACTATCTACTTAAGAGATTACAGTCATTTTGATGAGAGAAAGTATGTAGATGATATGAATTCGATTAACTGGGCAGGAACATTCAGTAACCATGAAAACCTGCAAAAAAATGACTACAGAATGTATTAATACCATCACATAAATTATTAGCAAACATGCTCCCAAAAAAGGCATCGCTTAGCAAATTGAAGCAATTAGCTAAGCCTTGGCTATCTAAGGGACTCATTAAATCAATTAAAATTAAACAAAAGTTATATCGTTCACACTTTTTGAGCAAAGACCCAACAACAATCTCTAGATATAAAACATATTCAAATGTACTAAATAAATTAAAAACTAACACAAAAAGAGTACTATACACAACAATTTCAGTTATGCATGTAAAGACAATTTAAGGAGCACATGGAAACTGATTGGAACATCAATTAATCGCAAAAGTAAAGGCCAGTCTTCTCCTTCTAGAATTGTTAGAAATAATAAGGTATTCACCACACAATCTGATATTGCGGAACAGCTTGACCAGCATTTTGTCAGTGCCTACCCTAACTTAGCCTGTCAGATACATAAGAGGGGGCAAGGATATTTTCGTGACTAGCAATCTTTCGTGCTTCGTGAGTCGTGATTTAAAGAAATACCATTCCGTAAATCGTAATTAATATGCGTGCCGTAAATCGTGAAAAGCTGAAAGGCTAGCTAGGGTGTTGAATTTACCAATATTTCCCCCTAACATTCGAATGTTTACATTTAAAACTCGGCCCTAATTTAATATTATGGGGGGGGGGGATGAATAAATTTTGCTTCTCGCGGTTGTCTTTCTTGACGTTTCTTCGTTTCATCGGTAAACGTCAGTATCGTATACCTACGTACGTCTTCGTGAACCATCGTAAGACGCTCGTAATGTTTCGTAATGCCTCGCAATTATTTCCATAGTCCTTTATAAACTCTAATGTTAAAGTCAGTAAAATGTGTTTCTGTTAACATCGAGTTCTGCAGTCCAGAAAATTGTTAAATGGTTTCAGACTTTGTTACGTTTCTGTGTTTCTAAAAATCGTGGAAATGAAATTTTCTTATTCGTGACTCGTGAAATCGAAAAATGATCTTCGTGATTTCGTGACGAGACCCCCCTCCCCCTTCCTAGCACTAATGATGATCCCACTAAATACATAAATAATTCCCAAATATCAAGTTTCTATATGTCACCTGTCACAGAAAAATATGTTTGTCGACTATCCTCTGGACTGAATAAAGCTAAATCATCATTAGAAATCCCAAATAAAATTATTACACTGGTAGCAGCTCCACATCAGTACCCTTTACAATTATTTTCAATCGATCATTTGCTACTGGTATTGTTCCTGAGGCATTTAAGGTATCTAGAATAACACCAGTTTATAAGAATGGAACAATGACTGATCCTAGCAATGACAGACCAATTGCAATCCTGTCACCTTTTAGCAAGACATTAGAGAGAATCATTTATGACCAGCTGATATTTTTTATAGAGAAATTTGATATGTAACTAAATTTCAATTTGGTTTTTGAAAAGGGCACTCAACTGAACAAGCTATACTAGCGATAACTGAAAATTTAAAAAATTCAAGCTTTCGATACAGTAAAGCACAAAATACTAATAGCAAAATTATATAAATATGGAATGAGAGGTAGACCATTTGAATGGTCAGACAGTTATTTCAGTAATAGACATCAATTTGTGCAAATAGATAATAAAAAAATCTAGTTTTCGCACAATGACTTGTGGACTCCCCCAGGAGTCAACACTGGGACCACTCTTATTTTTAATTTATATATTAAAATGACATGGTTAATTCTTCATCAATACTTTCCTTTCGTATGTTCGCAGATGATGCTAACATACTTTATTCAGATAAAGACCCCATAAAACTTGAATTACTCAGGAATATTGAACTTAAAAAAGTTCTTGATTACTGTTCTATAAACAAATTATTAATTAATATGAACAAGACCAATTTTATGGTGATATCCTCAAACACAAAAGAGCATATCAATATAAACATACATAATAGTGAACGTAAAAGTTGTATCAAATATCTTGGAATATACCTCGATGAACATCTAAATTGGAAGAGTCAAATCGTGCATGTTAATAATAAAATAGCCAGGAACATTGGAATTTTTATAAATACGTCATTATCTCAATATACACATGCTTAAACAACTCTACTATATCCTTATTTATCGTTATCTAACTTATGGTGTTATGAGTTGGGGTAATGCGTACAGTACAAATTTAACTAAGATTCGTACTAAACAAAATAAGTGCATTTGCAGTATTTTTTTGGCAGTGGCGTAGCCAGGATTCTGTCTTTGGGGGAGCGAAATTGCTCGAGCGTCAAAGATGCGAGCCCCCTAGGGGGGGTCCGGGGGTTTCCCCCCTGAAAGTTTTTGAATTCTAGAATCTCTCAGACTGCACTTTCCGCATTCTGAGGCGAGATTTTAAAAAATAACTGATCGCCATAAATAGCAAAGTTTTATTGTCTCCAAACCAAAACAATGTAGTGCACATATAAGTCATATGTATGTGGACCTTGTAATGCTATATTTTCCATCTAGACTACCCTAAACTGCAATTTGACGCATCAAAAAGTTTCAGGCCAAGTTCAAACCTGGAACTTCACATGAATCAAAATCAATGCAAATTAGGTTAAATTAAGGAAAACATTCTTGACAATTGAGTTAGGTTTATGTGCGTTTGACGTTTGAACTTGAACTAGGCCTAGGGCTTTGATCATATATTTCAAACAGTGCCATTCAAATTGTCGAGTTGTAATTTTATAGTAGCCAAAACTGACATATAGTCGATATACTCACATAAACAGCATTACAATTTGTAGTCGACACATGCATAAGCATAATTTGCAAGTATACGATATATAATTGGTATTTACATGCACAAGCAGCACAACAAATAATATGGTACTTAAACTAAATCAAGTCTTCTTCCAGCTTGTCGCGGATAGTGTGCAGAAGGGCTTCGGCAGTAAGTTTGATCCATTGGTTCAACAGATAAAAGGCGTTCCTCTGTAGTTCCATTCCGAACATAGCGAACAAGCAGGGACAGCTGTTCTATCTTTCCACTGTCGGGTGTTTCATCTGCAATGATTGCAAAGAACGTAGCTTCTTTAACACGTCGTATAATTTCTTTGGATATGGCTGAACCAATTACCTCTATCATCTGATTCTGGATATCAGGACTGAGATATGTAGCGTGATCTAAATAATGATGAATAGTCGTAAGGTCGTGTATTTTGAAAAGATTTATATAAACTAACCATCGCGTAGACACAAGCCTAGTTCAAATCAGATCCTAAAGTTTTTGTAAGTTAATTATGTAAAAAGACAATTAGACAAAATTCAGTACATATACAAAGTCGCCAGCTGTGATCAAAAAAATATTAGTTTACCTGCGCAGTTTTTAAGATGATCTTCCATAAGAGGATCAACCGTTGCCATATGCTCAATAAATTCTTTAAATACGCCGTTGTTTAGTGAACATTCGCCTTCCGGATGGCCTCTGAAGGGTAAATTAAGTCTCCCCAGCAATCGAACAACACCCAGAATTTTTCCAATTATAGTCCGATTTTCTTAACCTAAAAATACAAAGCAACATTAGATAGGAATGACATATGTACAGGTTCAGAGGAATTCGAATGTTCGTTGATTCAATATACAATATTGAGCAAGGCAAAAAGAACATTGACTTGAAAAACATACTTTTAGCTGACGGTAAGACTCTTGTCTCTCTGCATCTTCGCTAAGTTGGTGATCTACCGGTTTGTGGCTTTTCCAAATGTGAAACGACTGGAGAGAGTTCTTGTGGCACTCGGAACTTTCGTCTTTCTTAAAAGCCTCACTTTTCTTCCAGTTATTAAATCCAGTTTTGATGAATGCGGGCTCTCCTTTGAACGAGACCTACAAATAAATAAATGATATAATAGTTTTAGAGGTTGTATAATATACAAAATAATTATCTCTTTATCATTGACTCTAACGATCAGATGTTTCAAATGCAAATATCGCCAGACGTGTTTACTCTATATATACGATGTGTTATATACCTGTCCGTTGAAAACTCGGCAGTAGAAACAAAACGCTATATCAGATGACTTTGAATACTCATGCACGATGAGAGAAATTTTCGATTAAATCTGTCTTTTGGATAATCTACGTCGCGGGTTGGCTGGCATGGTCCTTTTTTTATAACGTGGTCTCTGGCTGCTCTTCCAGTGGGCAAGGGAAACAAGGATCAAATTCGTAGGTTGAAAGATCTACTGGTGGCGCGTTAGCCATTATAAGTCAGTCAACCCGAATTTACAACTTTGTATTTGTGTTGACACTTGCTTGCGTAACTTCTTTGTCAAATAACACAGCACTCTCACTTATATACTTTGACGAATATTTAGACTACATTTATATAAAAGGGGCAGTCTGGGTTGGGCATGCTAGAATATACAGTATGATGAATATTCTGCGTAGATAGACGTTTCGCCTTTTAGTACATGCCAGTATACAGGGTGTCCCAAAAAAAAGTGACACTATAGAAATTATCTCATTGTTCTTAAGCCGCTCTTAAAGGCGCGTGATTACACGCCTGGGAATTTAATGAACTTGTATTTATACATTTAAGCATTATAAAACGTTTTCGCTTTGTCCAAATATTTTAACGCCCGAGTGAAGCAAAACGATTACACTAATAAACGGTTTGCTTTTTTATTTTAAATTCCAGAAGCAAAAGTTTATGCGCCTGTGGGATCAACTATAATTAGTGCTAGGGCATTCAAATTATAACAATAGGATAATTTCTATAGAGTCACTTTTTTGGGGGATACCCTGTACAATATTTTACAGTTTATCAATGAAATTGATAAAAGATTGGAATGACTGATTTTACAAAACGTCTCGGAAACAATACGAACTGATATTACTGACTACAGATTACGCTGTCACCGAGTACAGGAATTTCTGCTATTAAAAATATTATACTTCACCGCGAACACTCGATAGTTTATACACAGACATTTATAGTTCACTAGCTGGCTCTCGCTGGCTTGGCTGGCATGTTACCTCTGGAGCAAAATTTCAATCTTACTTTATTATTTACTATTTATTGGGCCATGTAAACCTTGCTCTATCGCGATATAATAATACAAGAATAAGCTAGCTGGTATAGACTGCGAACGGTCTCTCCTTTCCGCGGGTTACATCGCGATATAATAATACAAGAATAAGCTCGCTGATATAATTCAGCTGCTGACTTATAATTTTATATCAAAACTATCCACTGGCATCTATTCATGTATACATCGCTCCGTATCTTTGATAGATAAAGCACTGTGCTATAATACTATCAACCTCAGTTGTAATACACTCTAGTCTACACGATTTCACACCGCCGCTCAAAAGTCACCGCTCGTCCATGTCCGCCATTCTAAAATGATAATATATATTCTATGATATGAGAGCACGTGTATTATGCACGTGTATAGAGTCGGTGGGCACCACAGGTGGCCACACCGACTAACAAGTGCTTGAAATGCAACAGTAATTTCGTTATAACTTCTCTAAATGATATTTGTGATGTTACTCTGAGTGTATATCCACACCGGGCGAGCTTGAAAAATATGCCCGGCCACGGTGGGATTCGAACCTACGACCTTTGAATACTAGCCCAATGCTCTTCCAACTGAGCTACGCGGTCAGGACGTAAAGCCTGGTTCACATATATGCCTGCGACGTACCGGCGACGATATCGGTGCTAGCTTTAAAACGTAAATTATGTGAACATTTGTTCGCCGATTGCCGCCAGTGCCTCAGTTACATCGGCGGTAGGCCAGGAAAGTTGACTTGAGTTCAACTTTGCCGGTATTTCGGCGGCAAGTAGAGGTATAATGATACAGTCGCAGGCATACCGCAGGCATATGTGAACCAGGCTTTAGGGAGTTTAAGCTTCGCGTTTTCGGGAACGCCAAACGGCAGGTTCGAACTGTCGTGGCAAAATTTTCGTTCAACGTTTTTGTTTCATATTTTCTTTCATATTTTCTACAAACAGCTATGAACGATAATTAGTTGCATGGCCGAACGTCGCGAAGCTCTAAAGAACGTAATAAAAAATCATTCGCAGGCTCCCCCCGGATTGTTTGCTCTATAGATCGATCGCTCACTGAATTGAATTTAACCTCATAACAATAGTGCAGAGCAACTTTGCACTAAAAAGGAGCGGGTAAAAGGAGCGGGTAATTAAAAAAAAGAGTGGGTAATTTGAGTAATTTCCCAGGTGCTAAGCGCCGGTGGGGAATTTTAAGGGAAAAAAGACATTTTTTTATGAAAGTGTAACAACATGAGGACCATTTTTACTAAGTGAAACCATTGACTTCACATAAAAAAATCTCGAAAATTCTATCAAATGTTAAATTGACAGATATTTAACAGCCTGAACATGTCTTATTATGACGTGCTGAAAATACGTACACACCAGCGCAACGTTTTTGGGTCACGGAACGGACAAAAATTATTATAACATGCACAAGTGCTACTCAAAACTCTACAGTCTGTCTCGGCTATTGCCTCACCAAACTGTGGAAAACTATGAACATATTGAACACGGTTTGCACGGTTAGGGTTTAGGTTTGCAGAACACCATTGCATTTATTCAGAAACTGATAGTGGTGTAGCATATATACACATTTTTAGACTACACGTACAATACAGCAAAAGTTTCCAAACACAGGGTGTTTTAATAAGGCGCTCACGTTCAGTTTAAACCAGTGAACTCTAAAGCCCTGTTTACACTACGCTCAATTTTTGGTACGGCACGGATAAAATCTGTACCCGTATTGGTACGGTGGTTCTTTTAAGAACCAAAAAAGTGGTACGGTACCAAAAATTGAGCGTAGTGTAAACGGGGCTTAAGGGAACTGGAAAGATAACTTAGCCGCCATCTTTGAAGCCACTCGTGATGGCCGCCATGTACGTAAGGCATGTACGTATATAAAAAACCGGATGACTAAAAACTTGAAATTCGGATAAATTTATAGTAAAAAATGGTTTATAGTTTCCTTTGCTCCATAGAGTTTGTAATGCATAACCACAGTTTGGTGAGGCAATAGCCGAGACAGACTGTAGAGTTTTGAGCAGCACTTGTACATGTTATAATACTTTTTGTCCATTTGGTGACCCAAAAACGTTGCGCTAGTGTGTACGTATTTTCAGCACGTCATAATAAGACAATTTCAAGCTGTTAAATATCTGTCAATTTAACATTTGATAGAATTTTCGAGATTTTTTATGTCAAGTCAATGGTTTCACTTAGTAAAAATGGTCCTCATGTTGTTACACTTTCATAAACAAGTACGATCGTACTATAGTGGACCA